GCGGGTTCGTTAGCCCTCCTGGAGCTGGGAAAGGTTTGTTAGCTCTCCTGGAGACAGGGCAGGTTCGTTAGCTCTCCCGGAGCCGGGGCAGGTTCGTTAGCTCTCCCAGAGCTGTGGCACCTTGCCCTGCCTTCTGCAGCACGGAGAAATCCTCTCCGAGGGGCAGGACGTCCTTGGCGCAGCCAAACCCAGCAGGAAAGAGCGATTGCAGGGCCCGGCCAAGGCTGACATGGCAAGAAGGGGTTTCCCAGCTCAGAAATTCCCGTTGCTCCCCTGGCAAGCCCTGGGGTGAAGAATCTCCGTCTGCAGCACGCCCCAGGGCCACTGGCACAACTGCTGCCCTGGCTCTCGGCCGTGCTCGTGCCCCAGGTACAGTCTCACATCCTGATGGCTTCGGGACACCTTCGGTCCCGTGACTGCTCTCTGCAGCGGGCTCCAGCCTGTTTCTGCAGCAGGCAACCCTGGGTTCGTTCCTCTCCCCCACGTAACGAGCAGCTCATCTACACTGGCCATTTAATATAATTAACACAGGGAGATGAGTGCTTCCAGAAAGTGTCTCCATCGTGAGATCTGGAGGGGGACAGATGGTGGGAGGCGGTGGGAGGAGAAGTGACAGCCCTTCCCCACCCCTACAGCTCTACCGTGACGTCCCAGTCTGTCCCATCTCTCCCAGTTTCTTCCCAGTGCAAGATCCTGCGCTGCAACTCGGAGTACGTGGCTGCCACCCTCAACCTGCGCGGCTCCAACCGGAACGCGGCGTACTGCAACGCCCTCCGCTCCTACTCCCACTGCACCCGCAAGACGGCTCCGGCACGCACTTGCCGGGGCGACCTGGCCTACCACTCTGCCGTCCACGGCATCGAGGACCTCATGATCCAGAACAACTGCTCCAAGGAGGGTCCAACATCGCCGCCCCGACCCCGGCCCCCGGCCCCCAACCATCAGGGCTTCGAGTCCCTCGATATCTGCAACTATGAGAAGAGTTTTCTCTACAAGCACGGCCAGCCCCCCACCTACCAGCACTGCGCGGCTTTCGGGGACCCCCACACGTCCACGGCATCGAGGACCTCATGATCCAGAACAACTGCTCCAAGGAGGGTCCAACATCGCCGCCCCGACCCCGGCCCCCGGCCCCCAACCATCAGGGCTTCGAGTCCCTCGATATCTGCAACTATGAGAAGAGTTTTCTCTACAAGCACGGCCAGCCCCCCACCTACCAGCACTGCGCGGCTTTCGGGGACCCCCACATCCGCACGTTCCACGACGACTTCCACACTTGCCGGGTGGAGGGCTCCTGGCCTCTCCTGGACAATGACTACTTGTTTGTGCAAGCCACCAGCTCCCCGGTGGCGAGGGGGTCCAATGCTACGGTCACTAGC